AAAAGTTGCTTTATTAACAAGTAGATTCGTTAAAAACTGCTTCATCTATGAATATTGCTTTCAGTAAAAATTAAATTTAACTAGATAAGCTCAAAACCTTTCTGCATACAGTACGTTTTGTTTTTCTTGAAAAAAGTCAAAAATTGACTTTATGGTCATTATTTTACTGAGGGTAGTTTTGAGTAAAAACCAATTGGCCCAAATGGGCCGATTCTTTTACCAACAATAACTTGTGTACAGCTTTAAGCAACTTTATTAAAAAAAGTTAGAGAAGCATTTCAACAACTATAAAGAATTATTTAGTTGTGCTTGGAGCTTCCAAATATCATGCAAATGTTGTTTATGGCAAGCCTCACAAATTGGTGTGTCGGGGTTGCAGCTGCACGATTTCTCGACTCTGATGCCACTGTTACCTGACAAGCGGCAAGTCTTACAAGCTAATCGAACACGCTTGCTTTTATTATTTCGATTCATTGACACAAGCGTATGAGTCATGCATCTTCTGAGTGGTCTTCGACTTTCTTCTTCTTCTTCGGCGTCGCTATTAGCCAGCTTTTGGCAGTGCTTCAGCATATTCCATGCCAATATACCGTTGAAAGAAGCATGTGATATGCCCTTTTTTCCATCATTGGCAAAGACCCGAAATGAACTAAAGGCATTTGCTTCGCATATTCCCAAGAAAAAGCCAAAAAAGCGCATTTCCCACCTCTCAGTTGAGATGATATCGTGATACGAGGCCATATTATCTCTCAAATTATTTGCAGCATCGATAAAGCCTAAAATTAAAATGTAAATTTGCATGCCTCTATATACTGCTACTATTTCCTTACTTTTGTGTGTCTCGTATTCCTCTGCAACCTCAGGCCTTTGAATAGTAATTATTCTACCGTGAATTCCCTCGAGCACCTTCTTGCCAGTAAGTATTGTTGTGCTACATGATGAGACAAACGCTTTGACTTTTTGATCGCGATAGGCACAAGTGAATAGACTACTGCCACCATTACCTAGACATTTGCTCATGGTGTAGCAGCTACCATAGGCTTCTTCAACCTTTTCCACAATGCCTGTTTGAGGCATTCCACGAGGCCAGTAGAGGCGCTTGCACACTTGCATGATAGAGAACAAGCCAAGTTTGAAAAGCATTTTGACCATATCTGGAGACCCAAACCAAGAGTCAGCAATTACCGTTCTTCCACTACCAAACCAGGGCTGCGCCAAACGCTTAACGGTGGCGGTCAACTTCTTTATGCCAGGCTAAAGTCTACTCTAAAACTATACCTATACACACGACACAGGTGCACACAGACTTTGTTAGTAACTTTTATAGTTAATATGAATATCAAAAATAATAAAGGTTATTTTTTTTCTCACTTATACTGCTGAGACATATACATTTATCTAAATCTGTTACTTATGCTCACAACACCATTAAATAACAAACACTTTGTAACATTCTATGCGGAAACTTTTTGATAATTTTACATTTATCTGCCAGTAACTTTTAAACGAATCAGCTCTAGCACACTGTTATGTCAAAATACAATGTAAAATTGAATCTGCCAAAGAATTACACTTTTATTGAGAATGCATCCCAAGGATGCATTTATATACTTTTCATTATGCTAGGGTTTACAGCATGATGATGAACTATAATACAAATAGGTTTACTATCTACCCAACAATTGATTTGTAAATCATGATTAGCATGATTTACCCAAAGGACCTAAGAATAGCCTAAAACCTTTAGTGTGAGACCTTGCTATGACATTTGATATAACATACACATTCAAAATAACATTCATATATTACGAACTGTTCAACAACGCGATGGCATAGTAAAAGCGAATATAGTACCACAAAGTTTCGAGAACCTAATTCCACTAGAGTAGCAGTTTATGAAGATCGTTATCTACAGTCTGATTGGATTATTTTGTATATTCCACACGGTCATCAAGCGATTGAGAAACAGTATCTAATGAATATTGTGGCAAACATTGTATCGTATAGTATTAAAAGACAATTTTTCATGTATGTTATCTTTTTACTATCTCATGCCGTGCAATAGATAGCATCCTATTAATAAAATTAAACAGTATGGGCCCGCTTCTGCAACAAAGGCAACATAATAAAGCGTGCTACTCTTTGGGGGGTATTCAATGCATTCATCTTTAATAAACTCAGTAAATCTGTAAGCCATGTCTTTCTACGTGTTGTATTCACATATAATCCAGCCCAGCCTTTCATAGTATTGATCTATACGAGGGCTTGATTGTTGCGAAGCGAATATGCAAAATCGTAGTATCTAAGTAGTAAATTCGATTTCTCTCTTTCTTTATTAATAATGGATTGTTTAAACTCTACATATATATAGCAGAGTTTATTATTGTTAATGATTTGGAATGTCTACGGCGACAGCCCGCAGGGTGACACCGTCGTCAAGTGTAGTGATATTGCATCTAATTCAACATTTGTTAATATTAGTCCTAATCGATTTTACCGTAGCCAAGCAAAGGTGTACAACCATAGTGTTCAAGCAGCAAATTCGGGTTCTCATTTGCATTGTTAATAATAAGCTTACCAGCAACATAGGGCATCAAAATTCGCATGAATTAGTCTTACAAAATCAATATGTCACCTGTTGAAATTACAAGCTGCACAGGTTGCAGAGCTGCCCTTCCAGACAGCTTTAGCTACTAAAGATGTGGTTCATGCCGTGTAAATAAAAGCCATAAAGCAAAATATTACCAAATTGGACAGTTTTCAAGTCTTCATATATTGACATGTAGACCTTTCTGGGCCACCGGAATAACGCCAAACAATTGCACTTGAGTAGTAGTAACTTTCTGACACCTTTGCTCAACTATTTGAGAACCTAAAAAATATGGCCAAAAATCAACCAAAAAGCATGAGGTACCCCTCATGGTTTTTTACGAAAATCAAAGGATCGCATTTTTCGCCTTGAAAATAAAGACTTTTACTATGGCATATATCAAATTAAAATGTTTCTCTAGATCCAGAGCAACCTCTGAAACCACTGTTATGAGGCTTTCATATACAAAATATGGCTATTTTCGCTAAAAACCTCATTTCAAATTTTATTGAATTGCTCAATAGTTTCAATCAAAACACTTATTACAGTTAGCACCGTCGGAAGCGCCTTGAAAAGTACTTCAAGAATGTATTAGGAAGCGTAGGGTGATCATCACAGTTCATATAGTCGAATACCAAAAAATAGATTAAAGAAGTCGAAAAAAGGCGAGATCTGTCCAATTTTGAGCAGAAAAAAAATAAGCTGAGGTTGAATTAATTTTGGCGGCGGCATTGCTGATGGCTGACCTAAATGCCTTTCTGTTGATGATAATGATGATTGCAATGTTGATTAAATGGGGATCATGGAATTGAAAGGGTAGTTGCTTAACCCAAATACTTTTTTGGGTGCTTTTGTTACAAGCGAGCCTTTTGCAATGTCAACATCTCAAAAAAGTCGCTGTAGATCTTACACAAGTCCTTTATTTACTTATGACCAGCTTTATGTCGCAATCTTATTAAGAGCATCAGCAGCAGTGAATGATATGACAATTCTATTATCAAAAAATGGCATTTGTGATATACAAATACTGCATATAATTTGAATTTCTTTCACATTGTCCCAATAATAGGCTTTGTTTAATATCAACGTAAGCAAAAAGGATACTAACGGAGATACCTCCTCTCCTTCTCCTGGCTCTGATACAACCTTTCTGTTACTAACTAACAATAAATTGTTTAAAATCTACTTGATATACCAAAATGTTATAATGTCTGATTTAAAACGGCTTCGATGAGAGCCCGCAGGGCGACGCCGACATCGAGCGTAGCGAGATAAATGGGCAAATAATAAATACTGGAAGCCTTGAACATAAAAGCGTCGTAGTAGCAAATTAGAGACTGCAAGCCCTTGTCCCAAGAACACACTGCATCTAATTTTAATGATGTTATACCTGCTATACTTAGCTGTGGATTAAATGATTTGTGGTGTCAAGGCAACATTTGCTAACCTTGACCTTAAACAGGTATAATAACCCTAAGGAAGCAAACGTGAAAAGCCATAATAAAGCAGTAAATTTGGTTTCTTATTTTCATTTGATGCATTTCACACCATAATCCATTATATCACACCTAATACAACACATCAACATCTCATCGGTTTTTACATACACTACTAAACGCACATCAAGACCCATCAAATAGTCAACTAGTAGGATGACTATTACTGAAACAATACCACTTAATTCAATGACATACAAGAGCGGTTACAATTACACGTAACTGTAGATTATTTACACATATCATTTACGACAATCTACTACTGGATCATCACACTTGACTTTAGACCTCAGGATTTGACATTATTCACAAAGATATAAATGGGACCACACAATTCATTCAATAAAGGATCGTCTTAATTTTGCACAGAATGATAAACTAATAATTTACTGATATATTTATTTGTATGATTTTAATTATTTACAATATTTGTCAATCTAAACAGAACTTTTATCCATTGTTATAGTATACTAGTTGCACAACACCGCTTCGCGGTGTATACAACGTCGTGCTGCCGCACGCTTAATCCACCATTAAACAAAGCTTTATATCTGTTGAGGAATGATGAGACTAACGGCCTGACAATAAAAAATGGATGTAATTTGAGATATAAATATATAAAAGCTTTATTGAAAGACCTCAGAGTATACTGTATTGTGTGTATAGTGGCCAGGTAGGTTTTCCAGTACAGAAATATCAGGATTAACCATGATTCTTATCGATGATGGCTTACTGGCCCTTGACATTGCGACGTACAACTGACCAAGCAAGAAGACGTGAGAGGGAAGATATAGTCCAACGTTAGATAATGTTTGGCCCTGCGATTTGTTTATAGTCATGGCAAAGGCCAATCTCACAGGAAACTGGGTGCGGCTGAAGTCGAAGGGAATTCTACCGTTGGCTTCTGTAATAAACTAGATCCTTGGGATATACACAACGTCACCTGCTTTTGGCCCTGTGACAATGGTGGCTTCAATTATTCTAACACCCAAAGGTTTCACGATTAGCTTGGTTCCATTGCATAATCCAGCTGAAGGATCTAAGTTTCTCAAGATCATTATTGGAGACCCAGCTCTCAAAACCAATCCATGTGGAGGCAGAGAGCCAGATTCTATGGAGTTGAGAAGCTCGAGAGGCACCTGCATTCGAAATTGAGAATCACAGACTTGATCATAGCTGTAATAAGTGAACTTTCTTCCCGGCAAGTTGTCAAGTAGCAGATTGTTTATGACTGCAACATCTTGGTTCTTTGGGGTCAATATAACACGTTTCGCAAAATATTGGTCAATCGTTGAGCTATTGCTGATGTTTGGAAACACAGTAGCTAGCAAATCCAGCAAGTTGGTAGAATTGAGATACATTTCATCTGGGATACGCACAAAATCCGAAGGAATGTCCTCAGGTAATGTCACCGTTCTAACTTTTCGTTCACCAATTTGTAGTAAATAGCTAGAAAACTGTTTGTAGTTTGTTGGCTAAATCCTGATTGTTGTCTTCAAGTGCTTGCTGCACTCGCATGTTAGTTTCCAGCTTGAATTTTCTAACTTGTGACCAAAAGTAGCAGCGGTTGATACATTGAGACACAATGCCTGATCTACTTGCACCTGGGACGATTGGGAGAACTTGGCGAAAATCGCCAGCGAAAACGATCAAGCGGCCACCAAAAGGTAAGCTGTTTTTCATCACGCCTTTGAAGGTTCTGTCTATAGTTTCAATCAAGTCTTTTCGAATCATGGAACACTCGACCCATATAATCAGCCTTGCTCTCTTGATGAATTGAGCTATTTCAGAGGATGGTGTAAGATCACACATTGTTGTAGATGAGGTGTCGATAGGTATTTTAAAGGTAGTGTGGGCAGTTCGACCTCCTTTCAGCAGCAGAGCCGCCGTTCCTGTTGAAGCAACTGCAATTGCAATATGATTTTGTTTGCGAACGGCATCTAACAAAGCATTGATGATGAAAGTTTTCCCGGTACCGCCAGGCCCGTCAATAAAAAAACAGTTTGGACTGTGCAGCATCATAGTTTTCGTCAGCTAACGCGCAACGTTGAATGGCATTGTAAGCTATCAATTGGCTTGGATTGAATGGCAAAGAGTTTGGGTCAGGAGCTTCCAAGGCTTCAATTAGCAGAGTGGCATGCATCCTTTCCAGCGGGGTAGAGTGCTCAGGGTAAGCATAGTTATCCCTAGTATTATCAACAGTAGGGAAAACGTTCTTGAAACCATCCATAGTTTTCAAATCAAATTGGTTGGCAACCAAAATTTGATTCAAATCAAGAAGGCAGTGGCCATACATCTCGTCTGTTATTTCAGTGGGAACAGGTTGGTTCAGAGCTCTTGCCTCTTGTTGCCTACGATACAGATAGTCCTCAGCTAGATGTAGTCTGTGATTCAACCATAGCTGAAAAGGATCAGAGACATCGCAGAAGGAGAGCAGAATACAGAAGAGTTGCCGTATTTTTTGAGGTGACATAGTGGTGCTTGCTTCTGACATGGTATCATTCCATTCATTATTGTCATCTTGCAGAAGACCCATTGCTCTGGCAGTAGCCTGATAAGACGGATAGACGCGGCCATTGTACGTTCGCATGTAGGTAAAGGATGTTGCTCCTGGAATTCGATACAATAGGATTCTTAAATGATACTTTTCAATATCTTTTGGAGATACAGCGTAGACTCTGCCAATGGCTCCACCAAAACCTGAACGTCCAGGTTTCCAAACTCTTGGGTTCTGTTGTTTATAAAAAACGTACTTTTCACAGAAGTCCGGATACAAAGTTTGCTTAGCTTCGTTATCTTCAGGATTTTCGAGATTGTACTTGAACCAAGCTGTCAGGGTTGTTTCTGGAAGTGTACGGTTCAAGACCTGGTCAGAACTTTCGTTCTCGTTAAAGTACACCCTTCTATCGTTCTCCAAATGGATATCCAGGCGCTGTGTAGAGGGGTATTCCTTATGCATAGGGAAAGACATGATTCTCCAACAGGCTTCAGATTCCGAGACATATCTTGCATCAAGAAGCTTTTTGATCTCATCCTGATGATCATCTTGAGCAGATGAGCCCGTGTATACCTGTGCTCTGTCATGGCCCTTGTATATATATTTGTATATGTATTTGACCGAGTTGACCTGGCTGCAAATCTCCATGCTGATGTGTGCGTTGTATTTAGCAACCAAATAAAGATTATGAGGCACGACCCAACGATTATCAATAGTGATTCTTCCACTATGCCTGGAAATTGTACGATCAGTCATCAATCAAAACGTATTGAAGAGGATCAAAGAATTGATTGGTTTCATTAATTCTTGTTAGGTTATCACCAGAACCTTTCAATCTTAAAACGATATCACGATTTTTTGGCTGTTCGTTGCTGCTTTCATCGCCGCCATCAAACAATAGTACACCAATTTCTGGAACTCTAGGTCTATTGTACCTTCTTGGATCAGGAGAATCCTCTGAACGAAATATCATTCGTATATTCTGAATTCCTCCAGGTTGCCCAACTGATAGCTCCTCCATGGTTTTAAATAAGTCAACAAAAGGATTGACTTTGTGCATCATATTTTGGAGGAGACGCATAGTGGTTCTCTCAACGTTGGGGTTTCCAGCAACATTCAGTCGGTTTTGGAGCTCATTTTCCCCATCGAATATATATATATATATATATATTTGAGCAAATTTTGGGCGTGTATCATTTGCTGGCATAAGTGCAGAGTTCATGAGATGATAGACGCTACCGTGAATACGGAATGCGTAGGCACCATTTTGATTATTCGCAGCTAATTGATCTAAAGTTGCATTCATGGAGGTAAAGCTGAGAGCAGAATTGTACGTTCTAATGTTCGATTTGAACTCTTTGCTAACATCGTCATTGCCACTCAAAAGATTGACAATAAGCTCTGGAAAAATGGTATACTGGCTTCAAGATTGCCTAGCCATCTTGACAGCAGGTTTGTAACGTTGGAGAAGCCCTTGCTGTTCTTTGCTTTCTTTCATCAATCCACATGTAGGCTCCACATTTTGAGCACAAAGCATTCATGCCTCCCAAATCATTTCGGTTAGCCTCAGGTGCCTCAGGATTTCGCGCCATCAAAAAAGAATCTATTGCACCTGTACGTAGAGGATTTTCGGCACAATTATAATGAGATCGGCGTTGGCGTCCTTCTATTCCACAAAAGGGACATACAACTGCTGTTACAATGACATTTGAGTCCAGAGTTTCGGCTGTGGCCTCAGATTGAGAGGCATTTGGAAAGTCTTGTACAATTGGTGTTGGAGACGGTTGCTCAGATGGCTGATTGATTGGATTTAGCGCACAGTCAAGATGATTTCTGCGTGTATGTCCTTCTCTATGGCACCATGCGCAAATTGCTCTCCTGTCAGAAGTATTTCGAAGTATCCTCATTCCACAATCCTTATGCGAACACCTTTGGTGTCCAGTGCGGCCACACCAATTACACCTTACTATATTCTTGTTGACGGTAGCTCCTAATTCCAAAATTGGGCTCGTGTATGTTGGGGAAGTTGTTACTGGAATCTTACCTTCAATAGGTTCAGGAACAACAGGATTTGCAGTTTCAGGAAAGTTGTGAAAGACAAAATATACAGTATATAGCTTAACTGGAGTATTCAAAGAATCAGAGCGGTTTAAACGACTTCTCAAGCTTCGAGGCATTTGGATTGTTAGGTAAAACTTGGGAATATGAAGAGAAAAGGATTATGTAAATGCTTTATTTTCCAAGAATTTTGTTAGGCTTCTGCCAAGCTGACAATAATGGCTGCTTTCCCTACGGGCACTCTTGTAATTAACTTTTTACTATGTGACGGCAGAATAAAATGCATTACTTTAGAAGTTTGGTAATAAGAAGGATCATCTACCTGGCCAGTAGAGAGACTTCAGTTTACTTTACACCTGTCAGTTTGATAGTAAGACATACCTTTATCAAGTTGACTTTACTGTTATTTTTATTCTTTTTTTTCTCCGTGAATTTTAGTCTATAAAGCCTCAAATTCCACAGGTTCCATACTTCAATAACAAACATCACACTTTAAACCATCAAAGTTACATTAAACCATGCTATGACGATAGCTCACCCAAGCCCATCAAAGTTACTCAAATCAACCCTTATGGCCAGTGCTCTTGCATTGATTACTACTTTAAATCAAACATCAACAACATTTGCCAGATATTGCAATAGCAGCACCTATTTCTCCCTATTATCACTAATCCTACAAGCTAGTTGCAAATGTTTAAATACTCTTCTTTTTTTTTTTTTTACTCAATTCCAGGATCTTCAGTTCATTTTATACACAAATAAAATACAGTTGATTTCTATTATATTTTACTATTGCTTTATTTTTTTGTGAAATCTATTCAAACCTGATTTCACTGCAAGAATAAAAGCATCGATAACTTAGAGATTGAGCTTCGTACAATGCAGAATATCAGGGACATTAGACCGAATTGTAATGCACTTACTCTTCTGGCAACGCAACCCACTACACCGTCGTTTTAGGTCGAATTTCGCTCAAATCTAGCCATTTTCAAGCACGAATATCTCATGCCACAAAGGGGTTTGAGCGCTTGAAATAGCTTCACACGCCTTCTCTTGGCTACTGATTTATCAGAAATAAATTATTTATAAAAAGGAGTATGAAATTAATCAGGTAAAGAATATCGTTTATTACATTGAAAATAAGAGGGTTTATATACTATTCGAATTGAGGAATTTGATGTGAGGATAAGGTATTAGATGGGTTGATTTGGGTGATTGGATAATAGACTCAATCTATTATTCTGAACATGCCATGATATGGATCGTAACTGAATTCTGTTTCATGTCAAAATTTATGATCTGATGTGACCGGTGCTTGAACTGCTTGTTTCTACGCATTTGGAGATCCGGTTTAGAAATAATATATCAGTACACATGCGAAGGCTAAACGGAGATTGAATCTTTATTGTTCTGGATGATGGTCAATGAGTTTTCTAAATCTATCGTCCTAAAACTATTTGATTCTTGATAGTAAACATCCCTTTAAACTTATATGAAACTTGTAGAGAATTCTAAGCAGAATACAATAGTATTTATATCAAGTCTCTGGTGTACATTGTTCACCTGATATTTGGTACGATTTTTTTTTGCGATGTTTTTGACTGTTTTCTAAAGATTAATCAGTATCTGTCATCAAAACATTTTGTTAAGCATTATTAATAATTGTAGACCAAACGATTTCCTACCGAATGAGCTATTGCTTGAAGCTCTGGCATAACTCTATCATGAAATATTGAAAATATTGTCTTGACCAAAAAAAGGTCACCAGATTTTTTGCTTGCTATCACAGGCAGATTGTGAAGAAAAATCAATGATTTTGCATGCTACCCTTTTTTGAACATACCTCGACAAATACTAACCGGATTCGCACAAAGCAAAGACGATTCGATAGCTCAATGCTAGATCCATCATAATGTAAGGGTTTCAAGTACCAGATGTACGTTTCCTATATATATTTGCTGAAAAACATATATTTTACGAGGTACAAGCTGATATATTCGACAAGGTGCTAAATAACTAAAATCATACAAATAAATATATCAGTAAATTATCAGTTTATCATTCTGTGCAAAATTAAGACGATCCTTTATTGAATGAATTGTGTGGTCCCATTTATATCTTTGTGAATAATGTCAAATCCTGAGGTCTAAAGTCAAGTGTGATGATCCAGTAGTAGATTGTCGTAAATGATATGTGTAAATAATCTACAGTTACGTGTAATTGTAACCGCTCTTGTATGTCATTGAATTAAGTGGTATTGTTTCAGTAATAGTCATCCTACTAGTTGACTATTTGATGGGTCTTGATGTGCGTTTAGTAGTGTATGTAAAAACCGATGAGATGTTGATGTGTTGTATTAGGTGTGATATAATGGATTATGGTGTGAAATGCATCAAATGAAAATAAGAAACCAAATTTACTGCTTTATTATGGCTTTTCACGTTTGCTTCCTTAGGGTTATTATACCTGTTTAAGGTCAAGGTTAGCAAATGTTGCCTTGACACCACAAATCACTTAATCCACAGCTAAGTATAGCAGGTATAACATCATTAAAATTAGATGCAGTGTGTTCTTGGGACAAGGGCTTGCAGTCTCTAATTTGCTACTACGACGCTTTTATGTTCAAGGCTTCCAGTATTTATTATTTGCCCATTTATCTCGCTACGCTCGATGTCGGCGTCGCCCTGCGGGCTCTCATCGAAGCCGTTTTAAATCAGACATTATAACATTTTGGTATATCAAGTAGATTTTAAACAATTTATTGTTAGTTAGTAACAGAAAGGTTGTATCAGAGCCAGGAGAAGGAGAGGAGGTATCTCCGTTAGTATCCTTTTTGCTTACGTTGATATTAAACAAAGCCTATTATTGGGACAATGTGAAAGAAATTCAAATTATATGCAGTATTTGTATATCACAAATGCCATTTTTTGATAATAGAATTGTCATATCATTCACTGCTGCTGATGCTCTTAATAAGATTGCGACATAAAGCTGGTCATAAGTAAATAAAGGACTTGTGTAAGATCTACAGCGACTTTTTTGAGATGTTGACATTGCAAAAGGCTCGCTTGTAACAAAAGCACCCAAAAAAGTATTTGGGTTAAGCAACTACCCTTTCAATTCCATGATCCCCATTTAATCAACATTGCAATCATCATTATCATCAACAGAAAGGCATTTAGGTCAGCCATCAGCAATGCCGCCGCCAAAATTAATTCAACCTCAGCTTATTTTTTTTCTGCTCAAAATTGGACAGATCTCGCCTTTTTTCGACTTCTTTAATCTATTTTTTGGTATTCGACTATATGAACTGTGATGATCACCCTACGCTTCCTAATACATTCTTGAAGTACTTTTCAAGGCGCTTCCGACGGTGCTAACTGTAATAAGTGTTTTGATTGAAACTATTGAGCAATTCAATAAAATTTGAAATGAGGTTTTTAGCGAAAATAGCCATATTTTGTATATGAAAGCCTCATAACAGTGGTTTCAGAGGTTGCTCTGGATCTAGAGAAACATTTTAATTTGATATATGCCATAGTAAAAGTCTTTATTTTCAAGGCGAAAAATGCGATCCTTTGATTTTCGTAAAAAACCATGAGGGGTACCTCATGCTTTTTGGTTGATTTTTGGCCATATTTTTTAGGTTCTCAAATAGTTGAGCAAAGGTGTCAGAAAGTTACTACTACTCAAGTGCA